GGCATTCCCCCGGAGCTGGAGGAAGTGTCTGGAGAGAGGGAAGTCTGGGCATCTTTGCTTAGGCTGCTGGGAGGGGTACAAATGGGGCCCCTGTAAGAAAACCATCCTCAGGCCCCACATGAATGCTTTTTCTCTGAATTCACTTGAAGTCATTATTGGACCAAGGAAGCAACAATTGTGGCCCATGTGAAAAATCTCAGATTTCCAATATGATGCTTGTTCTGTTATAGTAATAAAACAACACTGTGTGGGCTAATAACTGGGAAACCATATATGTCCCAAGCCCCACATAGTGTATCACATGCACACTTGTTGTCCACTGAGCCCACATTTCAGCCCTCACATGAACAAGTTGTCTGGGCAATTACAACTTGTTTCATGTGTTTTAACCAAAGACTGTGGGTAAACGCAGGAGACAGCAGTATTTCCTGCCCAACAATATGCTATTCTTCACATTAAAAAAACCATAAACCTCTCTCATAAAGCAGACCATTTAGCTGTCTATTAGTCTGCTTCACTGTTTGTACAGCCAATTTACATATCAATGAGCTTGCTCTCATTCACAATTGTATGTACAAACAGATAACACACACTCACACACACCTGCTGACATGTTCTGACAGAGAACATCCACCAGTGGAGAGGGGAAAAAACAATCAGTAAGAGTTCAGTTGGTGATTCATGTGGAGGAAGATATGGGGCAGCTAAGGACTGTTAGTCATGCATAGGTGGACCATACTGCTCTCTCCTGTCCTTCACTAGTTCTGTTGACCTGAGTGGAAAAATGGAGCTGCATCATAAAGGGCCATTGTAGGAGCTTTTTATTGCCCAGTTAATAGAGAAGGTGTTACTGGTAGAGGTCTGCCTTTTTCATTTACTACTGTTTGTGCCTTGACCATGTGTTTCCCAGGAATCTATCAATCTAGCATCCTCCCTCTACTGCACCAGCAGTACTCTAATGAAGTGTAGGGATTTTCCTTAATTTTAGAGATGCTTGACTTTCAGGAGGACTGGCAGCTGAACGACTCTACATTATGATGCTATATAAATCATTCAAAACTACATTTTGACAGATGGGAATATGGTTATATTACTGAGCATCTGGCATTCCAAATATCCCCAGTGAAGGATGAAAGGAGTTTCTAAGGCAGTTGTTTTCCTGTATTGTTTTTTACTTTCTATTAGTTGTGATCTTAACATCTGCTTTTTCCCCCTACCTTGTTTCCTCACTCCCTTCCTCCTTCCTTCCTTCTTTACTACTTGTAGAGAATGAGCTGCAGCTACCTGCTCTGCACTATCCTGCTCTTCGTGGCTGTATTGCTGGCTGTCACTGTAACTGGCACCATCCTTTTTATGAATCATTACCAGGCCCCGCCCATGTCCGATGGCCTGCCCCACATCTCTACCAATCAGGATGAAGCTAATGCCCTGGTCACTGTTGAGAGAGGTGATGGCTCGCGCATCAACATCTTCATCGACCCCAATTGTCCCGACTATAACAGTAACTTTTTGCGTCTGGAGGGTGTGCAGACCTCCCTGCTTCACTCACTAACTGACCACGACTCTGACCTGAAGTCAGTGAAAGGCCAGGATCGAGCTCTGCTTGTCAGTCTGGCTGAGGAGGTAGCCAAGCTGTCAGCCCATGCAGGACAACTGAAAATGGATTATGAATCATTACGCAGGGGACAGGGCAGCCTGGGGCAAGACCTTAACACGCTGCAGACAGAGCAGGGACGCCTCATACAGGTGAGACATGAACACACAGCATGAAACCCAGAGATGTCATGATTGTTACAATGGTTACTGAGGCACAATATAAAGCAAAGATGTACAGCAGTATCTGTATGAACTGTATTTTGTATATTTGCAACAACTGCAAAAACTGACAAATTGTTTATAAACATGTAGTAATTCACCAGTATTGGTGAAACTGATCTTATTTCCACTGGACTTAAGACCATGCTGATGGCCAGACAGCCCAGGAGGCCAAAGCACTAAAGCAGATACTGTTTAAATACATGTTAAATCAATGTACAGATACGATGCAAAAAGCAAAAATGGACATGCTGATAATCAATAAAATAGAAAGGCTGGATTTCCAGTATTCTAGAATATTTAAACAATGGAATATGCAGAATATGCAGCCATATTTACACAGTGTAATACATATGTAGTGTATATTTTGTGTCAAAAACCAGTTTGTCAGGTTGCCTTTTGTTTGTTCTTTTCTTTTTTTATTTCTGAATTTGATTTGTTGGTTGGATGAGAAGTAAAAACAGATCAACTTAACCCAGTAAGCAAGTGAGAAGTCATGACTTTAAGCACTGTACAGAGGTGCTCAAGGACTGGACTGTGAAACACCTATCAATATGTATCGATTGCAAAACCACCTCAAGACTTGTGATAGCCCCTTGGACTTGGGAGTTTTCTGTTGGTTGGCGTTATTTAGTCCCTTCCTTTTCTTGACTGCAATGCCGACTCAGCTACAGTATGTTCATTTCTCTTTACACGGAGTATAACACAACAACTCGCACATTATTTCAGTAAGATATTCTAACCACATCCATGCCGGGTGAAAACATAACCCTTTTGGTGTTGCACTGTCCACAGTGATTTATTGATGATGCATTTTCAAAATATACATGGAAATTTCTATATGCTCTTTTAATTTTGGCCCATCAAACTTAGTTTTGTTCTGCTGTAAGTAGATTTCATACCGCCAGCGGTATATAACTGAATGCTTTTCATTTCTGTCAGTCCTTTCTTAAGGCCAGACTGCTTTAGCTCAGGGTTCAACATTGTTTAGAAATCACTCAGAAACTCACTGGATTGGTCTGCTCCTGACTCTGTGGGCTAAGAAACCATAGGTGCTGATTGGTAGCACAATAGAAGCAGAAAGACTTACTGCTGTTAATATGGTGTAGGTGGCATAGAGCAGTGGGCACTGAGGCTAAGTGGAGATGGTGCTGGCAGCCCAGACACTGTAGGTGATTGATTTCCTCTTTGGAGGCAAGGCATGCGGTGTGCGCATCCGCTGTTTCTGCCCGACACCGTGGTGTGACTGAATGATCTATAAGCCACCTGTGGCCAGGACTTCTGATTTATACGATGACACAGAGCTGACTGTGCCAGTGTTAGTAATGGCTCAGTGTGCACCGCAGCCAGCTGAAGAACAGTTTCACCCTGCCACATAGAGCGAAACCTTTCCACATGCCCCCGAGGTAGTGAGCAGGAAAATCTGATTGCACTGGGTTTAGGACCAATCTGTTTTGATTTTTCAAAGCTTGATATATTCATTTTTCACAGCTTGCAGTCTGAAACAGAAAGGTACACCAAAGCACATTCATATACATACAGTACCTCTAAGTCACATTGATGGTAATAACCAGTACAATAGTGCAATTAGCTGATGGTCAGATTTCAGAGTAACTTGTAACATGCATGTTGTTGGTGTTAGCTCTGAAAAACCTCAAAACCCTTGTATAATACTGGTAGTGTTTAATCTTTTCTTTCTTTATTGGAAACAAATTACAAAAGAAAGCATGCTCTACATTGCTGACGGCTGAGTCTTGTTGTCTTTCTCTACACAGCGCACAACAATTCAAACATTCACATCTAAACATGAGATTATTTCGTTCCCACCTGATTACAGAGTGTGATGGTACAATGTGAGCTTTGTGGTGTTTTTAGAACTGCCTTGTGTTATGTTCTGCTGTGTTTTTGGTTTAATTAGATGAAATGTGTTGATGGTGTTTATTGCTTTTAACTTATGTCACATGTACTGCAGGCATCTGTTCATAAATGAATAAAAACTTAAATGACCCAAAAACAAAAACCATGATTATATTAGGTCAGTTTGTAACAGTCCGTTTTCAGCACTGGGCTTGATTTTCATGTTATGTTGTGTTTGTTTAATTTTCCAATTCATATTCTTAGTCTACATTATTTATTATTTGAACAGGTTGTGATTTGCCCAGTGTGTCCCAGCTTCTCAGTGTGGTTCCTACTCCTTCAATTATCCCTAAACATTGTATTAGTTAATTATTTCATTAATAAGTAAAAGCTTGATTAGCAGCCCAGGAATTGAACCCTGGGGGGACTCTGTATGGCGTCATCTCCTCAGATTAATGAACGCCAACAGCAGCAACAAAGCCCATGGTTTTTAGAAACCACTTTATGGCCTGCTGAAAATTTTTCCGAAACGGAAATTTAAATGGTGAAGTGGGACCACATCTGAACACATGTTGGTTCCATTCCTCATTACATTTAAACTGACTAGTCTAACACTTTTTGTACAGCAGATCGCCTGCCACCTTGTTTGTTGTCCGATTGCCCCTCCATTTGCTTTCTGCTCTATTATTGGATCATCTCCTCCACCATTTTTTGGGGGGTTTGTGCTGCCGGTCCCGGTCCTCCATTTGCGGGGCGCTCCACGTTTACTCACCTCAGGCTGCCATATCCTCCTGCCTAGCACCACGTCAACAGATGACACACAGAGGCGCTTCACTTTGGCTCTGCCTACTTCCTCCCAGGACGCTCACCAAGAGATGGGGTTTGTTGGAGGTTTCTTTCATTAAAGGGAGTTTTTCCCTCCCACTGTCGCCAAGTGCTGCTCGAGGGGGATTTGTGGGCTTTTCCTTAAATGGTGTAATTCACTGTTGTGAATTGGCACTATGCAATAAATTTAATAAAAGGTTTGGGGGTGTGCGGGACCTTTTTTTCCACAAAACACAGTCCATAAGCATTACAGAAGCATTCATTTGTCATTCATTCTTTCCTGAGGGCGGGGTCCTTGTGGGAGATTTGGGACCAGCGTTTTAGATAGCACTCCCCACCACCATCATCAAAACACCAAAGAGGAAATACCTTTTGAAAGAACGATGTCAGTCAGTGCCAATGAAGTGTTTACCTAAGGTTTCACAAACTTTTATAATTGGAATGAATTGTAAGTGCTAGAGTTTAGTGACATAAAATGATCATACATTCAGCTAACTTGACAGTCAGTTTTGTACAATGTCTGACTGCGAAAAGACGGCAAGCAGCTAAAGACATGACAGACTGAATTCCTTGAACTTGAATTATGTGCCTGCGGAGTATTAATGTTTTGGACATATGACACCCACATCCTCTGCTAAGGTTCTTGGGGATACCCTCTGCTACTGTTGAGTAAAAAAAAAACTATTGGCCCAAGATGTTTATTCTTGTCAGTATAAACCTGACAAAATCTACCTGAGAGTTTAGATTTGATGAAGCATGATTTGTTGTTCCAGCATTTCAGCCATGAATGCAACATAAATAGCTTTAAAACGCTAATAAAATTTGACCATAAAAGTCTCACAAAATATGGAAAACTAATTCAATTAAGCAAATGGGTAGCTTTAAAAATTAGCTCAGCAATTTAGGAGGGAATAAAACATGTCACTCGTTTGGTGGGTCCAAAATATTGTCATAAGAGCAATACAGAATGATATACATGTAAGTACAGTATAGTGATATGCAGTGATATAGATACAGTATATGCAGCAATTTATTAGGGCTAAGTACTTCAAAATAACTAAAGCATGCAATCTCATCATTACACAAACATAACAATAAGCAATTTGTCTACAACTTGAACATCCTTTTAAGAGTTATAATTTATTGTTGTGTTATTAAAAAACATGTTTTTGTTTAATATACTGATTTACAGAAAGAGTTGGGGATATGTAATATCAAATACTACAACTCTGTGCATACTGTACATATACTGTGTGTCAAAGCTGGGATAAGAAATTATAACAAAAATGTAATACAGTGCATATTAATGCATTTGTGAGAGGTATGGCCAATACGTGCACAGAAATGTTAAAGGACAATTATACCACTTTATTTCATTAACATGATTTAACTTCACAGCTGGACCCTATACTAAATCACACAAGGCCAAAATTAAAAGCCTGATCAGAGACATTTATGTATCAGACTTACTATGAAAATGTTCCCTTTATGTGTGAAGGTTCTGTTCATCATCAGGGTTCATCATCAGGGTAATCTTTTATTCATTGTTTCTTTGCTTCAGAGGCCTCTCATATGTCTGGGATCTCAGAAACCATTTAATCAGAGAGAACAGTGAATGAGGCAGAGGGCGACCTAACATTTGTCTGCCGCTTTAATACCATAAGTAAAGTCAAGTACTTATTGATAGTAAATTTAAGAACAGCTGGGTTGTAACAGTCTAAGAGGAAAGGAGAAAAACTAGGTATGCTGATGGAAAATGTACAGTGCTATTACAGAATGGTATTTTTAGTTTTCTTTGTGAGTTAAAAGTGAACTTTTTTTTAATTTAAAAAAGCCCTATTCAGCTGTAGCTTATTAGCATCAGAGAAACAGCATACAGGGGAAACAATTAACTACCCAGAGGCTCTTGAGGAGGACGAGGTAGAGTCAGATGAGGATGTGCATCTCCATCACAGCTGCCAAAAGATGAAAATGGTTTGGGGGGGTGCTTTAAAATGCAAGGTGTGGAATATGAGAAGTGGTTGGGAGCTAGATGACTGGCAAAGTGCAACACAATTATAAAGAATGTCAAAACATTTTGTTTGACTGGACCCTGTGGATATCTATTGTGGAAATCAGTATTGTCTTCATGAATTTATCTTTCTAACTCAGCATCTTGCAGGATACAAGTAATGATTAGTTTTCATTACCGATTTGATCTGAAGGTTATTTTTTTGATTAATCATGTAGTCTATATGAATTGTCTAACAATAGTGAAAAAGGCCCATCAGTTTCTCAGAGCCCAAGGTGAGTTATTCACTTTGTTTTGTGTGCTTGAACAACAGTTCGATACAGTATATATACAGTGGGTACGGAAAGTATTCAGACCCCCTTAAATTTTTCACTCTTTGTTATATTGCAGCCATATGCTAAAAGCATTTAAGTTCATTTTTTCCTCATTAATGTACACACAGCACCCCATATTGACAGAAAAACACAGAATGTTTGACATTTTTGCAGATTTATTAAAAAAGAAAAACTGAAATATCACATGGTCATAAGTATTCAGACCCTTTGCTGTGACACTCGTATATTTAACTTAGGTGCTGTCCATTTCTTCTGATCATCCCAGAGATGGTTCTACACCTTCATTTGAGTCCAGCTGTGTTTGATTATACTGATTGGACGTGATTAGGAAAAGCCACACACCTGTCTATATAAGACCCTACAGCTCACAGTGCATGTCAGAGCAAATGAGAATCATGAGGTCAAAGGAACTGCCCGAAGAGCTCAGAGACAGAATTGTGGCAAAGCACAGATCTGGCCAAGGTTACAAAAAAATTTCTGCTGCACTTAAGGTTCCCAAGAGCACAGTGGCCTCCATAATCCTTAAATGGAAGACGTTTGGGACGACCAGAACCCTTCCTAGAGCTGGCCGTACGGCCAAACTGAGCTATCGGGGGAGAAGAGCCTTGGTGAGAGAGGTACAGAAGAACCCAAAGATGACTGTGGCTGAGCTCCAGAGATGCAGTCAGGAGATGGGAGAAAGTTGTAGAAAGTCAAAGAAAGTCAACCATCACTGCAGCCCTCC